TTCCGTGTTTACACTCATACATATTTTGGACCGGTTAGGCCAAATTCGTTCAAATATTTTTTAATCGAGTTTAAATAATCTAGATTAATATCAACTCACGTTTTAATAATGCTTTTCTCCACCACAAATACATTAACTTCACAAGAATACCAGAGTTGTCGTGCTAAAATCGAGATGAAGTTTCTTTTCGTAGTGCATGTTGGTACGATTCTGCAAAACTGTACTATATTATGCAAAGAGGTTAATTCAATACATTACAATCCTTTGGTTCTAATAGCTCTTAACTACCCAAAGTAAAATAACTAACATCATTTGAAAATACAGAGAGTTCGCAGAAAAGGGGATCCAACACCAATTATTGTACCGTTCTCTGATACCCGCGAGAATAAAAATTTAAAGAAAAACTTTGGCAAAGTTCTTGAAAAAATGTTTAAGAATTGCCTACATTTCACCCAAATTATTCCAAAACGACCCATATTTCTGTGTTTGAACAACAAATTTTGTTAAAGAAAAATCTCTATCTTCAATATTGTAAATGTGGGAATTCGCCGAAAAAATCGAACGTATGAAATTTTCGACAATTTAGATATTTTCACAACAATGTGAGCTGTGGCAAATTTTAAGCGTTTTTTCGTTTACACCAAAGTTTAATAAAAACAACTGGGAGCCACTTTCGGTAAAATTTTTAATATCATGCTGCGACTTGATGTACAGAACCTCCAAAATTATGACATATGATATTGCACAATTTACTGTTTCTTCAGTGCAAATAATATTCATTCTCTAAGAGTTCTCTGTTCCTCCGTTTCGAACCATCCATGGCAAATCGATAAGGTATAGTAAAAAAAGTAGAGTATGGTCTAAAATCGAACCTTGCGGGACCCCATGTGCAATTGGTAATGCATAATTTCAATGCGGTATTTTTACCGAGATTGTTTAAGGTACCAACATAATCATACTAGAATAGAACGAAATCCACACAAAGATTTTAAAAGAAAAACTGTACAATTATTCAAAAGCTTTTTAACTATCTCAACATATTTCATTTTGTGTTTCGTTTTTATTCCTAAATTATGCGCTATCTAAGACAAAGCTCTTGTTTACGAAGTTATTGACTTCTTAAACATGTTGGCATATTGAAAACTCATCGTATTTATGAGAGTTTCCCATTCTTAGTGTTGGAAGCTGACACACATGGACAGTTCACGCAGCTGGAATGAGCAGTGGCAAGCTTCTTCCACCTCACCATTAGTGGCTTTGATAACCGAGTACCACAGTGTTTTATGCGACACTGACCATCGTCGGTTGACGGTTCTCCCAACTAGATATCTCCCACTAGCGGAGACCGCCTCAGCCAAGACGAGCTCTAATTCCTGACCAACTCCCGGCATGTGTGGTATTGCAGTGCATGTTATTGTGTAAAGCCTGTTTTACACGGTCATTTTTGCATCATTTCTCGTCGGTACAGACAAGTTACGGACCAGACTGGATGCAATTTGTACGGAAAAATGAAGCAAGCTTCATTTTTCCTTACAAATTGCATCCAGTTTCACTATGGTGCTCCTGGTGTCACTCTATGGGACTTTCTTCGAGTCCGTGCCCAGGAGAGTTATTTGAACTTGAGAGTGCTTTGTGCTGTTTTGGTTGTGATTTCGTGAGGTTGAGTGCTCAGCGACGCCATTTGTGCGAGTTTGTGTGTTCCAGCGGGTTTTTACTTCCTCTTAATTACGACCAAGTTCGAAGGTGAGTTGAGGTTACTGTAGAAAGATTTACATGAAATACGAATGTACCTCTTTCAAAAATTTCTATTACCCACTTTTTTTATCTTTTCGGACGTGTTTCACTTCTGTTTATCAGCCTTTGCCATAAACGTTTCTGAGATTTGTATACAAAAGTGAGTGAAGGTTACTACAGAAAAATGTACATGAAAAACGAATATACCTCTTTCAAACATGTCTATAACTTATTCTTTTCAGACGTTTCAATTCTGTTTATTAGCCTTTGCCAGAAACTTTTCTGAGATTTTTGCACACAGGTAAGTTGAGGGTATGATTTACATAAAATTAATATGAAATACCAATTTATCTTATATCTTTTAATTTTATATTATATTATATTATATATATATATATATTAGCCTACAGTATGTCGTGGCATCCAGACACTGATGCGATTAATAAAGTTAGTGAAGGGCTACCCAATTCTCTATGATTCATCTGAAGTCTATTATAAAAATAAAGTAAAGAGGATGAAGCTATTGAATTGTTTTGCAGATAATATGTCCACAATGCGGTGAGTACATATAATACCTCTGATCAGTAGAGTATAAAATTCTTGTATTGCAGACCATGTACAATAAGTACTTATCTTGTATTGCAGACCTGGTACCACTGCTGACGATGTGCGCAAAAAGTGGAACACAATACGGTCCACATAAACCGAGAAAAAAAAGTGGAGGAAAGCAGGCAGTCAGGTGTTGGCGCATGTGAGGTGTATCAACCTTCACTATTATTACAAAGACTTAAGGTTTCTAGACCCAGTGATTAAGGTGAAAAAAAGTCTTCACTAGAAATTGAAGAAGACTATAGTGCAACTGACACTCTTGTGATTGGTTCATTTGATGTGGATATTGGAGATAATTTTTTCTCACTAGCCACAATGAATGTGGAGTCGGGCTGCAGCAACAGTGTTGAGATACCGCAACGCCGCAATTCTTCTGGGTTGCGGAAGAATAAGAGAAGAAGAGATGAAGATGATGCTGTGATTATGGCTTTGCAGAACGCAACATCTGCGTTGCAGAGACTAGAATCAGTGCAAGATGAAAACGCTATGACTTAGTGTAGGTATCTGGCAACAAGGTTTCGTGAACTAACAAATGAGGTTTTTCGAGCTAGACACGCAATAGAAAATATTCTGTATGATATTGTAACAAGTAGAAAGTGAACAATAAAGTATGTGAACTTCTAATTTTGTCTGAAATATGGGGCTAATGCATCCCTCATTCTCTATGCTACCTCTGTTCGTCTCTGACCAGGATCAACTTGTTAACGACAACTACAATTACATTTGCAAGCAGGTAATGTGAGCTCACGATTGTGTTGAAGCCCAATATGACACTTTTTTTACAATATAAAATATTTTATTAACTTTATTTTTGTATAAAATATTGGTTTAATTCATCCCTCATCTTCTGTGCTGCCACTGTACTTCTCTGCCCAGGATCAGTTGCTACAGATACAACTGAAAGCAACTGGTCACCTGTAACAGAAAAAAACTTTATATTCAAGCAATATCTTCATAAGTACTTATGTACTCCAAATAATTCTCATTTGCACCTGATTTATCAGTGTAGTTCGATTTTGTTTTTAGCATGCCAAAAAATCATGAAGGGAGACTGCTGCCAGTACCAAATCATCAATTTTCTGGGCATCCAAATTTATAGGTGATAACACTGAATCTGTTGGCCTGTATCCCAAAGGCATCCTCTGCCACTCTCCTGGCACCGGATAAACGGTAGTTAAAATTAATTTTGTCAGCTGCCAAGTTTCTGGCAGGAAATTGTTTCATTAGCCGCTCAGACAGTGCAAACGCATCATCAGTGACAAAATGGTATGGCACATTAACATCGGTACATAATGTACCACAAGGAGGGATTTGTAGTTTCTCCAGGTTTTCGTAAAACGAAGTGTGCCTCCAGACTCCTCCATCCCTCACTCGGCCGTTCACTCCTACATTCACGTACAAATATTTTCATTCTGCATCTACTACTGCCAGGAGAACAATGGAATGCGCTCCCTTGAAGTTGAAATAGTATGATCCCGCATATGTAGGTGTTCTAAAGACAATGTGCTTGCCATCAACAGCACCAATGCACATCGGATAGTCCCAGAGCTCTCCAAACGTTTGTGACATTTTCAACCACCCCGCATGAGTCTGGACACAAGAAAAATTGTTTTATATACATTACAATTAACAATGTGCTTGATGATTATGCTCTATTAAATTACTTTCAGATACAAAGGTCGGAAAATGTACATAGATGGCTCTACATACTTCTGGTACAATTTTACTGATTGTACTTTCATGAATCCTGGTGGAAAATATGAGACACCTGAATGTTTCCCCTGATGAGAGAAATCGCAAGGTAACTGCTAACCTGCAAAAATTCAAAAATCAATATTTAGCAAAAACAACCCATCAACGGGTTGTAAGAAAGCGCCTGTGTAGTTTAAAAACTTAGGTTGTGAATGGCCATTATACAGACTACCACTAGAAGATTTATGCATGTGCATGTATGCACACGAAAAGTACATTTTATAGTGTACCATACCTTTCTCGTGGGGAAATTGCAGCTCGCATACAGGTGTCCTCCTTAATATCTGGCATTACCAATCCCAGGAGCTCGTCAAAATTTTCTTCAGTCATTGTCATGAACTGACTATAACAGGGTGGATCAATTCGCAAGCGCAATTCGTTGTCTACCATGTATAGCAGACCCACACCAGTCTCTTTTCTGCACCCAGGATTTCACTCAAGTACAGCATTTCCTTCTTTTACGTTCTGCTTTTACGATAGCTGAAGCCATAATGGGAGCTACCGCCGAAGCGATCATTTCAAACTCAAAAACCAGAATACTTCACCAAGTACTGCTCCAGCATTGGCCTGATCAGAGAAACCATGAAAAAACTACCGATCAGACCAGCAGACAGCTAGAATTCTCCTCCATAATGCGATTCAATTCGAATTACCCGACAAGCAAGTATTGAAAATGCTGCCACCGTCAGGACTCGAACATAGGACCTGCTGGCCCGAGGAACGGTTAATGCCCTCGGTTGAAGCCCTGAGCCATCTCTGTTTCATTCACACATACACGTACATTTTGGAAATATGAATAAAAATTCAGGAGAAGAGAAGGGGGTGATTTCGAAAAAGTAATAAAAATGTTTATATTTTTTATTAAAAATTTGTAACAATTCTACATTTCGGCATATCGCACTAACTTCTAATAAAAAGAAGTCTGCCAAGTCTGCCAAGTCTGCCAAGTCTGCCAAGTCTGCCAAGTCTGCCAAGTCTGCCAAGCTCCCAAGTCTGCAGTCTGCCAAGTCTGCCAAGTCTGCCAAGTCTGCCAAGTCTGCCAAGTCTGCCAAAGTCTGCCAGTCTGCAGTCTGCCAAGTCTTGCCAGTCTGCCAAGTCTGCCAAGTCTGAAGTCTGCCAAGTCGCCAAGTTCTGCCAACGTACTGCCAAGTCTGCCAAGTCTTGCCAAGTCTGCCAAGTCGCCAAGTCTGCCAAGTCTGCCAAGTCTGCAGTCTGCCAAGCTGCCAAGTCTGCCAAGTCCTTGCCAAGTCTGCGAAGTTCTTGCCAGGTTCTGCCAGTCTGCCAAGGACTGCCAAGACTGGCCAAGGACCTGCCAGACTGCCAAGTCCGCTCACAGTAAGACTAGAGAGCGTGGGAGGTACCTTCAAAGAAAGCGTTCATTGGAAGTCTGTATGAGCATAAGCGAAGTCAAAGGCCATGCAATCGAATATTCATTTTCGACGCGGCAAAATAAACTGATTGCACCTATGGGATAGAACATTAGTGGTGTTTTGAAACATCTGATATGGACACTGTTTGCTGGAAACTGATTCTACACGAGCAGTGTGGACATTGTGCACATTGCTAGTTCTGGCTGTATACTTGATTTTGGGCATTACGGGCGCGTACCTCACAGATGAAACTGACAATATCGTTAGCTACTGGTTAACCTACACTGATATTACTAATACAATAACATGCCCTTTGATAATTTTACGTTGTAAATGAAAGAATTTCACAATGAAATTTCTCAAAAAATGTCAGTTATCTCTGACTTGTCAAAATAGTGATTAGTTCTTTTCGCATATTGCCAAGTGGGAAAACCTGGCAACCTATCTTTTAATTTGACTGTCATATTTACCAACAATTTCATTTTAAATTGCAGTGGAAAATATACAATTTGTGAAAAGTGATCTTAATTTTTAATTAATGATCATTGTTGAAGGCAAATATTTTATATGGGAGATTTTATATAATTTCAATTACCAAATATCCAAAAAAGTTATTTTATTTTAATAATGTTTCGCCCGGTACCTAACTAAGGAATTCTTGAGGCTTATGTTTTAAGAACCAGTTTATAACAAAAGAATACGAAAGTTTTGGACACCACGTCAATCATGATTCAGCCTAATATAGCTATACTTGTGAGATGAAGTTACCAAAAGTTATTTGTTTTATGCTATATTATTAATACTTTATAGATAATTTTTAACAAGACTAAACGCTGTTACGAAGTTGTATTTTATATTAAATTTTATTAAAACTAATGGACTCTCTTCGAACAAACCATGTATCTTCATTGATGTTTCATTAAATCATTGAAGTTTTATTAAAATATCTCCAGATGGTCAATATGTATAAATGTATTTAAAACTACGTTCACTATTTTTGGAAACTAGGTATTATGCATTATGAAATCAATATTTGAAAGAGTTGTTATATAAATCTTATTTATTTTCCCTCTCGAATTGTTTATTCTCAACTGCGACACGTTCTTTAAAACTTATGGACACTTTTCAAAACAACGTACGTACATATATCAAATTTCAAAAATGAATATGTGAATACTCTTAACTGTAAAAGGAACGTCGAAAGCAATTTTCCCTAATTCATTACCCTTAACTGTATTCATTAACCTTAACCTATAATGAGCAACTTTCTTCTGGCCCAGGGAAATTTCATTACACGTTTCGTTTACAGTTAATTGAATTTACATATGTTATGGCTTGGTCTAAAAAATGTTTCATTCTTATTTAGAGTAACATGCATACACTCGCGGCAATGCATTGAAGCACACCTCGTGTGAATGCGCGGATCGACCTGTAAGTCAAAAAGAAAGGCACAGAAGACACAAATGTTAGTTTAATGCAAAACAGACTACACTGACTCGTACATGGTATAACTCAATAGTTAGTCTTGTAACATGCAAGGTCACACGCAGCAATTCTGACATAACCTGTCGTCCAGGAGCTGTATGGTTTCGTCAGTTACATAGTACCAAGCCCGTTGTACATTTTGAAGTAACTGGACGACAGTATTGGCCGGTGTGAGGCTGGAAGTGGCATGAGACGTGCCTGATACTGCTGGACGGTTGGTAAGCACAACGTGACCAGATGTGGCAGGAGGACAGGAACAAAGCCCCACCCACCCACGCTACCATAATCCCGGATGTGTGTCCAGTACGGCGGGTGCTAAGTCCCAACGGATTCGTCCGTTCACCAGCACGTCTGCACTTCCGAGCACGACCGCCATTTTGTTCCAGACGAGAGGCGTTTGTCTGAAACAAAACGACGGACGCAGAGGTGCTGGGGAACGGACGAAGCCTTTCCCTGTTCGCACCTCACATACTCGACACGCAATTGGGGTGATGGGACTGGGTGCATTTCGCATTCCGAAGTTACGCATTGCGATCGCCTCTTGTATTCGTTGAGGGGACCATGACATAAGTCCTGTCCTCCAACCACACCAGGGCAAGTTGGGCGGATCAAATTTCCAGCAGAATAAGGGGCGTCACAAGCCGCTAGCGTGACTCAGCATGCTCTAGACTGTGTACGCCTTCAGGTTCGCCGGACCTTGGTTCCATCTAACACGCGTGGGACACCATAGGACGCAGCCTGCCTGTAGCCCTACACCGGCCACAACCACCGTCCATTGTCCAGGTACGGCAAAATATACAGTGGGCGTGGGACACTTCCATAGGAAGCCACACAGCTCCAGTATGACAGGTTACATGCAGGAATCGTGTGTGGGCACGCAGGGTTGATATTTTGTACGAGTCCTCAAACCATGCAGTAAAAGTCCTGGCTGTCCCATGCATTCCGTTTTGTAAGCAATCCAACATATCAGTGTCTCCTGTGCCAACTTTCTGGTCGATCCGTGCATTCGAAGGTGTTCTTAAATGCATTGCCGCAAGTGTATATAGCAAGTTTATTCTTACAATTACTTTATGAGCATTCCTTGAAAATCCATTTAGTTTTATATGCCAGTTGATAATTGTTTTTGTGTATATATGCCGGATCTGACAAGCTATTATTTAGTGTGTAAGAATATTTTATATTAAATATAAAATATTCTTACACGTTTTATGTATTCTCAAATTAGAATTTCATAGTTTTCATATAATTGAATTGTATGATATTGAAAAGCCATAGTTAAAAAATAGAAGATTAAGAAGATACGGGACGGAACGTTGTTCGATTGTGTTATTGGTAAGTATAAACGCAACGTGTCAAATCATTGAGAGCAAACATCGTTAATTCAACAAAATTTTACAAGTAAACGAGCATTGATTTAGCAACTAAAAAATTAAACCGGATACCATAGAGTCCCTCCAAGACAAGTAACTGGAACGAGGGGGTAGCACCTATCCAATCGGGAGGTACAATGCCAAAAACGGAAGTAACGAAGCCCCGATTGGATGACAGTGTCCCTTTCTCCTGCCAGTTCCTGATCTCGGGCAGTCGCTATATTTAAATCTGACAATAGAATATTGTTTAAGTAACATTTTCTAAACTAAAAATTACTGAGAAGTCAAGTATTAGGTTAACATTTATGTTCCTCCTTTTCGAAAATTCGATTTTCCAGTTTGTACTCTATTTCGGATTTTGCATTTCTTTCTCCTAAGGCAAAGAAATATCTCAAGGCAAATGTATAGTAGTTATTTTTTTTATTATTAGACCAATATTTCTAAATTGTATGTTATAAAATATGAAACGGAAGATACTAACTTCAAAAAAAAATTTTCGAACTTAAAAAATGAGACTACGGTAATATGCGATTCCTTCCTCGTTGATAAAAAAATCCGAAGAGAATACTTTAAAAAATCGAATTTAGTTGAAAAGTATATTTGATTACATCTTGCACCTTGTAGTACGTTATCGTATAGAAATGTTAGTTAATTAATCACAAGTAGGAAACCAATACACCTGTCACTCAATTTTCCAATTATTTGGCAGTTCAGTTTCGAAAATCTCCTGTGCAAAGTTAAACAAATATTTGATCCTATTTGAAAGACAATACAATGAATAAAAATGTTTTCAACTCTACTATATGTGAAAGCTGCCAACTAATTGTCCTTCACAAAACGTAAGGTAATTTGTGACCAATATCAGACAATCGCCCATTCATATTTAAACTTTCGCTATGAATGCAATAACCTATTTTCATGTTAAACATTTGTCAATAATACAAATGGTCATTATACATGATCTCAGAATAAACCAGCAAATTTCTAGGGCATGAAGAGGAGGAGACATAATTTCTTGCCAATCAACATGTAGTGAAAAAATTCATAAAACGAGATTACACGTGTTACATTTGCCTCTTACCGTTAGGACATCTGTACGCACAAGTGTTCGTCAGGTACATGAAATCTCCTTGACTGCATTGGAACGTGGCCTGACGAACACCTGTTCAAGAGTTGCCTAACAATCAGAGGTAAATGTCACATGTATAAACTCCGTTAATAGAAAACATCCACTGCATATTGATCGGAGAAAAGTGTTCATTTTCTACTTCTGTTCACGCCCTAGAATTTTGTCACATTTATTGTAAGAAACCAAATATATTTTTATCCGATTATAGTATAGCCAATTAAATTTATATTTATTACGCTGAACTGTCTTGTTACCCTGTTTCTCTGAATTCTGACAGGTTAAAAAACTATCACACAACGGGTTGATACCATGCTATTTTTCCACCATAGCATCCAGATACTAAAAAACAGTGACGAGGAGAAAACTTCGTGCAAAGTACAATGTCACTGTGAGAATTGTGCATGCTCAATACATGTAAACGATTCGGTTCTGTTCCACGGCTAGAAACTGACTGTTCCACACATTCGGGTGAAAAAGAAAGCAACCGAAAGCCGAAATCGAATGGAGAACATATTAATCGACCATCTGCAGAAACACTAACACTTTCAATGTACCACTCACTGGCAACCGGTTCTTCAATGTAATGAGTCAGTCTTGGGAAACGTTTGTTAACACTACGATCCAACAGCTGGCCACTAGAATCGGAACTAATAAATGACGTCGAAACAGAACTTGAAAAGGAGTGCGGGTCCAGGACCTGGCTCGAACCTGGATTACTCTCTAGGCTCGCTTGTGCAAGGGCCCCAGTAGGCGCGGTATAGGGGCCCAATGGAGGGCTCGACGCCCACACTGCAGTTGCTTGAGAGTTGGACCTCCTCCTGCGAGAGCCTCTTTCCAGAGACGACGCAGCATCCGGGGCCTTCAGAGCGGGCGACAACTCATCCCACTGCCAGCTGAACCTCGAAGATTCACCTGAAGTTCTCTGCAAAATCTCAGAATCGGAATAACTCGACGGGCTAAAACACCCTACACTTGCACTTCCACGATCACCGGTGCCTCCATCTCCCCTTTCACTGCTTCGTCTTTCGCTGCGTTTTGTCCAAGGGTCATTCTGCTGCTGGGAGCACGGGGGACACAGGTCCCCCGACTCCCAGCACGGAGCAGCTCCATCTTCGGTTGGTGGCTCCTCCTGCTGAATGTCATGCACGCAGGTCCACTCCATTCCGCTTGCCTCGCTCGTACTGCGACTGATCGCACTCCAGCCCTGAGGGTGGATCTCCAGCGCCGAAACCACGTTGAAGCCGTCTGCGTTCGGGAAGTCCGCCACTATCTCCAGGCGGTTCCTTCGGCGATTAGGGGACAGAAAGCGACTCCATTTATGACTAGGGGTGGAAGTCTCGTGCAAGTACGCAAACCCGAACATTTCCAGTTCAAATTCGTCCAGATCTTGAGCAAGTGTACACAAATCTAATTCGTGCACAATCATTAGATAACCCCTTGCGGTAGAAATGATCATTTTCGACTCCTCGGGATTTAATCGCAGACGCAGGAGGACATAAGACCGGAATATCTTCTTGCAAAACTCTTCTGATTGAACGCAGTTCTTCATATCCCATGTGGAAATAAAACCGTCAACGCCAGACGTAATTAGCAACTCATTTTTCCTTGAATACTCTATATTTCCTATTGTGCTTGAATGCCCTCGTAAAGTTCGAATTTGAGACTTGAGATTCCTGGCATCCCACAACGAAACCGTCTGGTCAACACTGCCCGTGGCGAAAATTCGAGAATCAAGAAACTTCACAGTCGTGACGCAACTTGCATGCGCGTTGTGCACGGCGCGAATCAGCTTCCGAGACAGAGGATCAAACACCAGGAAGCTGCTCTTCTCGCACCCTGCCACCAGAAGAGATCCGTCCGAGCAGAACTCTAGGCTGAAGAGGCCTCCATGCTCACTTCTAGAATGTTCTCCCCCACCCCAAGAATGGCATGTTGAGATGGTTGAATACAAGCTCTTGTAAAAAACGTCTGAATATCCCAGAGAGAATCGTCGTCTCATTTCCCTTTGCCGAACCCAAGCAGGAAAAGAAAAGTTAGCTCTTTTGTTAGACATCTCGCTCTGATGCTCCATTTCACCCTTTATTTTACCCTCTATTTGACCCACCTATCATAGAATGTAATACAGGTTAGCGTGGAAACGTTCTATACAACACACAGAGCAAATACATCTTCCTTCCTCCCGAGTTGCAGATACATTGATCAGTTAATGACAGTTCTGTAGTGCAACATTTGAATCACTTTAGATCAGTCGGTTGAATGTATAACACTTTATTGGAAACAGTAGCCATTTTGTTTTCAGAACTTCTGTCAATGTTGTCCAATGATACGTCTTGAAATACGCTAACAGGACTTGCTTTGGCGACTAGATGTCCAATGGAATGTAGATAGGCTTCTCACGGCCACGGGCAGTTGGTTTGTGAAGCGTAGAACAGCGGCAGACGCTGTAAAGACAAAGCAAGACGATTAGATGAAGGATAGATTTGCTTGGGAAAATTATGTTTGGGAACAACAACACAATGACAAGTTTCTTAATTGTACTGTCAGTTTTTTAAACTGTATTACTGTTCGTTGAAGGAATATTAATTATTATTTTGCCCTTAATTAGTATATATTGTGCCTCAAACTAAGTTCAACATCCCTCGTGTATTTTTATTGTGACCAGAATTTTAAAAAAGTGTACTTCAGAGTCAGCAATTACGTTTCTTAAGTCAATACAAACGCAAAACATTTCATTTAAAATATTGTCGTTTACGTAATTTCATTATGATATTGCAGCGTCAGAAACATCTTCATACATACAAAAGTAGATAATATTTTGAACGAAAAAAAGAAATATTACTTTGTCTTTGACTCACCATCAAATTTAATTTAGACGAATATATACGAAGGCTCTAAGTGATCGTTCGGAGCCCCCAAGTTTGACAAGCGGCAATACCGTGAAATCATTCTGGGCCTGAACCTCATGAAAGCATAAAAAATAATTTCCAAGCACGGCTCATTACACTTCTACTGCGAAAGATATCAGTTCCCTTGCCCTTTCAATCACCTCTGCCGCCTCCAATCATTACGCTCACTCACAAAGCAAAGCAAAGCAAACTATCAAATGCACTAAAGAGTCGCGCAACCACGTCCACCAATGATCAAAGACATTTGAATCGCTTGGTGCAGAAATCCCTCGTGTCCGAACTTCTGAAATCGTATTTAATGTTTTTTTGCAAAGAACATTCGTGGCATTGGCAAACAGAACCGTTCTTTCGTTTTTAATAGACGAGGGCATATCGCTTACGTATAACAGTAAGATAATAGGATCTTAGATCGAAAATTACGTATTACTCGATCGTCAGATCGAAAATTACCTATCATTAAGAAAATTTCAATTGGTAAAGAATTGGAAAGATAAGTAAATAATGTCCTTTCGAGGAACGATTCGGACCGTTAGGAAAACAAATTAGAGAGTGGGAAAACAGCAATGGTTTGTATAAGCGGAGTCTAGACTGGATATGAAATAAATACGTTAATAAGCAAACAATGGCTAAATTAATCACCGATTTAAGAACCGTTACTAAACTTAAGTAAATAAGGCACAAGACTTAGTCAACTGTTAGGTAATAATAATAATAAATAAGCACATGGGGGCAAAGGGGAGGGGGTATCGGAAATGTAAGTGCAGAGACGATGGTGCGGGCGATCTCCTGTGGCGCTGTTTGATTTCAGGTGCTGAAGTGGCCTAACACTAAGATGAATGCGTGACGTCCGCACCAGGAAATAAAGTTTTAAAAAGTCGTTTAGATTAGCATGTACTCTGCTTCTGACGGTAGGTTTTTCCTCAACCGTACCTTATGGCCTCTTTTCCGCGGCCTTGATGCGATGGAAAGACCATTTGGTGTGAATACCAGAATTCGTGAGGTTAGAACGAGGTAGGACGTACGTATTGTAATGGCTTAAAGGCCTTCAACCTGGTCACATAGTAATTTTTATATATAGTAATTGTGGCGTGAATTTTGATGACCTAAAACATTGTCGGAATGATAAATAAAATGCTCTTAAAATGCTTTAAAAAAGGCCCTAAAAACAAAGAAAAATTACGTAAACTGCTTCAGGTGAACAACTGTTGGATATATTGTTGATGAAATCGAGGCTTCTTGCTTTCGTTCAAGTGAACTCAGTTTGCGAACTTTGGGTTTGGACTGTAAGAGAAAATCTCTGCCTTTATTTATCGGGAAACGGCCGAACTGACAATGGCACCGATAAGCGTAACAGGATTACACAGTACAACGGCTGACAATTTATGAGCAAAAAATCTAATAGATTACTCAGGAATTTGTGGTTTATTGCATTTCGTAAATATTATTTGAAGCAAGTACCATTAAAATATTAATATCGTCGAAATCAGCGAAAAATGCAGTAAAAATGGAAAACTACGTAAAAAAAGATGACAGTCGCAATATAGGAAAAATGCAAAAAATTACAAAAATGGGTCATTTCGGTTTGTCATGACCTAAAATGAATTTCTACACTGAACGGCATTGCTCGGAAGTGAAAAAACTACAGTTCAATAAAATCGGCCCCTAGTAATAACTACCTATTAAAAAATAATAAATTTGCAATTTTTTTTACAATCAAAAATGCTGAAAATATGAAATGGATGTGCGAATGTGAGTTGTTTATCGTATTCTAGCCTGAATGTATTCGAATTATCTGTGACTTTCATACCTTTGCTCAATACAAATAGAGTACAAATAGCTGGCTGTTATATTGAGGTTTCTTTCTTTCTCCTCTTTAAATCCAGTAAATTTGCATTTGTAATGAAATGGTTACTCTGAAATCTTCAGAATAAAACTTCTGAATAATATATTGCTTATGCTGTTGATACACAGTTATGAATTATGAAAAAAAGGTCTAGACTTCAAGATTTTTATTAATCAGATCTTTTCGAAATCAGAATTCCAGGAACAATCGTGTTTTCATTCCAGATACGGCAAGCTATTATGATTACTACGCGATCGAAAACATGGCGACGTTATTAAGTTACAAGTTATTAAAAATCTCTAAACGTAGACATTACTTATTCTTAACAACCTGAAGTTTTTCCGCTCTTCTTAATAAAAATAATTTCAAAATAACATTTTTTCGCGATATACTAAAGGCCTGTACTTAAGACGTTATTCCATCTGTGGTACGGCTCCACACGAATTGAAGTTTTAAGTTGGGAGTTTTTGAAAAACATCCAAAAAGTTTTAACGTTTCCTTTTCTCCAGAAAAACGTGTAAAAAATTAATTATATGGATTTATCTATATTGGAAGAGAAAATTGGATTGGTGGCCATCTGCTTCGACCAGCATTCAAAATCTGATGAAACATCAATTCAAAATTTGTCAAGTACTTTGAAAAACTCAGCGAAGTAAATAATGAAAGAGCTTTCTTTAAAATCATTATAGTCAGAATTGTAAAATAGATTTATTGAAATAATTGAGCCTTAATGTAGGCTGATTTACACTATTTTATTAAGCTGCGGGGATTTATGTAGAACAATAAAATGTTCATCTATCTGAAAAATCTTGAAAAAATAATTTTCACTCCATAAAACTTTGTTGAAATTGTTTCTTTAAATTTTTAACTTTGCTCAAGAACACTTTTCCAGAAAATCTATCACATTTTAAATTTGACACTTCGCAGGATTGCTCCTTAATACCAATGCATAAACGAATGTGTAAGCAAAATTTAGGCATTACTTATATTTTATATTATATATTAATTAATAAATATTAATTATCGGATGCTAAAAGTTTGAGTTAGATACAAAAACAAGAATTCTGTCAAAGAATGAATTATTCGTTGAAAGAAAATCGCCATGATGAATTGAGAAATTTTTGAAAAATCCACACATTCACTTAAAATATTTTTTTATCTACTGCAACTACATACGAAATTTGAAAACCATATGTGGAATTGTTATTGAGAAAATTGTACATTTATCATATAAAATAAAACTTACGGGAAAATGTTTTGAAACGTTGACGAGTCGTTTCTAGAACGTTATCATACCCAAACTTTATATTTTACCATAATTTCCTAAACAGAGTTAGAAAGGATTTATAAGGCTACCCTTCTTTAACTACTGAAAACATTCTTTTCTTCGTCTTTTTCAGCAGACCTCCACGTTTACGACTTTATGCTAAGCTGGGAGTTATTTAAATTTTGAATATCTTCTCGCAACCTGATTGGCACAGAACTTCAGGAGAATGTACCAAATCCAATGGGTAATAATCTAATAAAAACTCAAATCAATTTTTTGCCCATATTCCTTCCTATACCTCCTTACATTATTCATCAGTCCTGTCGAAAATCGCCTTTTTTGTGATAATAGCAGTTACAAAATTGAAATAAAGTTACTCTAAAAATAAAAGTAAAATCGGGATCATTTCAAGGGGTACGATCATTAAAGATAGAGGTAATTTCAATCGGGTCAAGTTCAAGGAATCATTGCATACAACGAAGAACTGAAGCGGTCACAAGTGACCCTAGAGCACGACTGGTCTTATACGACGAAACTGGTCTTATCTAATGTAGTTGCAACTCGCAGAACTTTGTTCAGTCATTTCTTTATTGGGCAAATTTTATTTAGTCAGTGTTTTTTCAATTATACAATTCGGTACCTTTCGTTTTCAACAAATCAAATTTGGACACTATTGGCATCAACTGAAATAAGAATATGAATATCATATGGTTTGGAGACTAAGTGAACAAATAAATGGACGTGTACAAAAATGTACATACATAATTAAACAACGAAATAAACATCTTGAGTATAACTGAGGAGCATATTGGCAGAAACTCTATACAAATCTGTAGCCTGGTTGACACGCCTTATGGTCACTTTATTCTACGGGTTTCAGTTTTATGTTGATACGGATTTTATTTTGTCCGTTGGAAAGAATGGTTTTGTGGAACAAAATGAGGAGCTGAGAACTGCTGAATGTCCTTGTAAATTGTATTGTCTTTATGCACACAAGCTAACAGTTCGTTTTTAAATTTTTGTGAAATTTACAAATAAATTGTCAATTCATGCGCTTAGTATGTACCACAGTTTCCAATTATTAAGCTGCTAATATTAATTTTAAAAAACTTGATGTCTCATTTGTCTTCGTGTGCCTAATAGATGCAATTTCATTACTCCATCTCTCTAGTCTCTAGCTATGACAAGCGGCGAAAACAGAAAACCCTGCATTCCTTTACTTGCTCGCCTTAAGTAGTATTGTACTAGTGCGCCTGAAAATTGCGATTTTATTAAAACTGCGATTCTTCGAAAATTGCAAAAGTTCAGAACTTCAATAATGAATACAATTTGTTCCTAAAGTATGTTGTAAAATTTATGGTAAATGAGGCTATGTATATTTTATAAAAGCTAGTAATTTCCGTGTAATTTCAGTTTGAAGTTAATGCAACTTATTCAAAAAAATCACAAAACTCGCTCCATTTTTTCTTCAATTTTTTCCACTGAAAACGAGGAACAGTTAAAAGAATGGTACAACCGTTAATTTCCGTCGAACACTCCTGAATTGTTGAAAGTTAGAAAAAACACGAGAAAGTGCTCTTGTATCACCACTGATTTAAATGTATTTTGGGCCGCTTCATTATTTGCTCAGGTCATGATCGAACACATTTTACGCATAAGTAACAATATTATTTAAATATAACAAAATTTGTCCGCAAAAAATAATTGTGTCAAAACCAGTAATTTTCAGATATTTTAACATTTAGAACCTTCAATAGAACTAAATGTTTCAGAAACATTGTTTTTGATGGCTGGAGTTTTTCTGATGTTTTAGTCATTTAGGGTCAGTTGTACGTACACGGAATAAACTGGTGAAAAAATTTATCACGCTGTTAGGGCTTAAATCTGTTGTACTATCTCGGGTTAACCAATGAATAACAAGGTGTTACGTTACCGTATGATCTCGCACGTAGTTAACAGGGGGGTAAGACTTAACCTTTACGACGCGTATTGCCTGCCGATTAATAGCAAAATCTGCAGTACATCTTGGCTGAAGTGTACGAAATTGCGAAGTATTTTTTTTCTGACAAGAGTGAAAAAGAAACGCTCCAGATGTATTTAAAAAGTCGAAAGTTGAGAGTGCAGAGGAGGAGATTCAGACTTGCTGAATGAATATGATTTTCAAGTTTTTGCAAGATTCAGGTTAAATAAGCAAACTGTGCTTTAATTGTTGCTGAATATAATAAAATTGAACACAATACGAACAGAAAATTCCACTAAATATTTGTTTTGTATCAAATATGTTATATTTATTCTATTTGGAACTTTCAAATCATCAAATGTTCGCCTTGGTGCAGTACAAAATAATAGTACGCAAAGGTTATGTCTGTCTTGCAGGAATCAGTATGTTCTTCTGTAACCCAGCACCAACTGACATCGAGATATTATGCTACTGAATCATTTTTTTTTACTTGGATTAGATATTTTTGTGGGCAGGATAAAGTGCCGCAAGTAGGATAATTAAATATTTAGCCAGGCAATAGTCAAATTAGCCCCATTTACGGAAAAGCGGCTTTTCCAAGAGTAATTGCTTCTATTGATTTCGCCTACATTAAAATACTCAGTTGGAGACAGTTCATAAAACTACAGAGAGAAATGGCACATTCTCGTTGAATGAAAGAACTGTGTGCAGTGCTGATTTGAAAATTCAGAATACTGATGCTCACTTGCCAAGAGTAGTGCACGACTCAACTACTTTTAATAACTCAGGATAAAACAATTTTAAGCTTTCAGATCGGTTCTTTTAACAGCTAGAGTTACGTTTACCTGTACACTGTAAATTTACAGTCTTCTTACTTGAAAACTAGACGGTAAAATCGATTCAAAATACCAGAACATAGAAGAGCCTCATCTTTCGATTAGTACAATAAAACAAACATAACACGTACCTCGTTCTAGCCACCTTAAGTAAATGATTCACGGCAGGGAAAAAGCTCTTGCTTCGACAAACTACAATCGCAAGATTTGCCCAAAAACTTCCCTTCCGCTTATTCACTGGTCATGTAACACCGGTGAAGTAAAATGTCGTACAAGTGACCGCCCTATCTAACCCAGGGTTAAGCAATATTTGAGACTTAATAACCACAGTTTATCGTTCATTCATACAACCGGCCCTAAATCAGTCAATGATGTCCCACTGCTTATCACGAGCGACCCGTACTCCTTTTACAAACAGAAGTATCGAGCGCAGAAACTGAGATTGCACTACGACGATAAGTACACAAATACACACAAAAAGGCAATTCCATCTTTAAAATCAAATTACTGCAACGCGATTGCCGACATCGTATATTTAAAAAACTTAGATTAATTTGTTTCAAATGGATGAAATTTTAGCGAACGGATTTAAGCGGATGGTATTTGACAGAACATCCAATGTAGCATTATTCCATGTACATTGAGAGCAGGAACAAATATTCTTAGAAATGTCCCATTTGTTGGTCTAACCCTCAATCAGCGTGTTCAATATATGGAGGAAGTAGCGGCGACAACCTTGCACAATAAATGCTAAAATCTCGAAAACCCCGGGCTACACAAACTACGAGGAAACGTGTGTATTTAATTTGTTTTTATAACTCCGAGTTTGTTTCAGCGCCTCTAACTTTGCATATGCGCACTATGACCTTTGCAACCCCAGGACAAAAATCAAGGGGGCAGACACGACATTATTTCTTCGGAAATAGTGAACAGTACTACATCCATCTTTAGTTGCAGATGGGCATGTTCTGCAATGTATTTGACGTAGACAACATCCCATGTACCATTATTCAAAGAACAAGAACAAATATTCTTAGAAATTTCCCATTTGTTGGTTTAACCCTCGAAAGACTGCCAGGAAACTTAGGAAAGCCATAAAGGTATTGTGGTGAGTTTTCGTTGGCATTTCCAATGAAAATTATATGCGTCGTCATTGCCAACAATATTATTGATTAAAAAAGAATTTTTAAATGGCACCATCAGTTTTCTGCTGCATGAAAGCCACAAAAACTACTACTGTGGCTGTGTACAGACTACTGTAGTCGTTTTTGTGGCTTCCATAAACAGAAAACCGATGGTTAAGCCATCGAAAGATGCTTTTTTAATCAATGTTGTTGGCAATGACTACGCATATAATTATTTCTTAGGAAAACCAGCTGTAGGTCAGCCAGTCGACATGAACCTTGGATATTCAAGAAGTACACGTTTGTAAATATTAGTTCTGTAGTCCGTATTGTTTATATAATTATGTTCTAAATGATCGAATATTAAAGTGCCATGTGTTTTTCTTTCTATTTCATTTTTTCCAAAAATGTATATGTAAAGTTAAATAATTTTTATTTTTTAATTCGTTGCAATAAACATGTTACTATTGAATGTACGGTTAAAGTTTAGTGTACGGTACACCCTTAGAGAAGCGTGGCGGCGGAGCTTAAGCCCTAATTACTGTACGTGCTCTAATAGAAATGAATAAAACTTACGGATAGGCGATTTTTATGGTTCGCCCTTCATATGCC